CCAAAATTTAAAGGAGAATCACTCATTGGGAGAAGCAGGTGAGGGTCAGTGATGGGAGCTGTACTGTAGGACTAAAACTCAGCAACTAGACATTAAGTTCATGATTTACTAACTTCAAATTCTTCCTTTTCTGCTAACAAGTCCAGGACTGTTCTAGAGCCTTCCATTATCTTGACTTTAAATATAAAATGCATGATAGCTGGAAATACAATTCAGTGATAGAGTATGTGCTTCGCATGTACCGCAAAATCAACAGATGAACAAGTAGATAAATAAATGAAATGTGTCTTTGGGCTTGTTGAGAATAGGAGTGATAGGAATTACAGGACTCCATTATGCTTACACAAATAACTTTCTTGACCAACTGGAAATCCCTCGTATATTTTTCTGTCTATGTGCATATACTAAACAGTTTGCCCTAACTTCTATTACTTTTAAATCAGACTTGACATCTATATTCCAGTAGCTTATCTTCACTGCACTTTGGCCTTCACTTAGAGGGATTTTTAATTTTCTTGGCTTTCCCTTAATAAGAATAGCAAAGTTTCATACTGCAGTTCCCATACTAATCGTTAGAAATATGGTTATCCATATGAGTTAGCAGATTTTTAAAAATCTTTTTGCAACTGTTAAGATGTTTCCCCTTCCTGAAACTTAGGAAGCACTGTATGGAAGAAAAGAGATAACATGCTTTCTGTATGTTGAGTAGCATCTGCCTCCTATAATATATAGAAATGTTTTTGTGTTATTTGTAATTTCAAGTATTTTTACAGAGGTCTTATTTGAATTATAAGCATTAAAAATATTATAATCTTTTCCTAAGTAAGAATTACTTCTAGACTCCTTCCAAATTACTTTGGAAGTATACTTGGTCTGACATAAAGTATGCAGTAGTTAATAGTAGTAACTGACCTCACTTAGTAGCACATAGAAAACTGGGTTCTCTAGAATATGACAGAGTAGCTTAGAGTACACCAATGCAGCTACTGAGAAAACACAGTAAAAGCTATAAGGGATGCATAAAACATCCATTAAAATGTATCAAGCAATGAGAAAGTAGGGAGGCCAAGATTCTGGAGCTTCTGGAAAAAAAACAAACCATAAAAGAAATAGCTGAGCATCTGCAACTATATTTACCCTGAAGAAATTTGACAAGTCTGGGTCCTTAGAACATGAGAATTGCTTAGATAGGGGGCTAATGAGGAAGAGGGACATGAGCAAAGCTGTATATGGTCTTTCAATATTGGAGATAGAAAGTCAGAGATCTGATTGAAAAAGGCTGAATGAAGGATTAGAGCTGGCACAATGGTAGGTTCCATCCATGTTGTTGAATTCCAAAGTCGAACAGTGTAGGGAATTAGAATCACAGTAACAAAATTAAGGGCTTGAAAAGAGGAGAAAATTCAGTGAACACACCAGGCCTCCACATGGGGACCTTGGAGAGTTCCACCCTAGAAAGGTGATTGGAGCCTTACAGGGTCTGGCCCAAGTTGTGCTTCTATGTTCAGTTTGCACTCTGTCCACCAGAGAGAAAAAGCTGAAACTTCTCTATAGAGAGATAATCTAGAGTCTCTATGATTTTTCATGTATTATGTCCAGAATTAAATAAAAAAGTTACTTATGATACCAAGAAGAGGATCACATGACCAGAAATCAAAAGGTATATGATTCAGTGGTTGAATGTAACAGACAGAGGCTTTGAAATAATTGGAATTAATATGTTCAATGAGACAGAAAAAAGAAAAAATATACTAAAAAATCAAAAGAAGTTAAGAATTCAACATATAAATATAAAAATAGATCACAGAGAAGAGTGTAAAGCCATAAAGAAACTGAAAGAAAGGTCAATGTAAAATATTAATACTGAAAAGTAAAGGAAAAAGGAATGGAAGACACAGATAAGAGTATAAAATACATGTGGAACATAGTGAAAAAGTCTAAGGCAGAGTATGACACTGGTGAAATACTTGAAGAAAAATGACTTTTCCAAAAGACAAAAGGCATAAAAACACAAATAACTACGCTCTGCAATTCTTAAGAAAAAATATAGAGTAGGATATTCTTGGAACATCAAAATAAACCTGGCTAAAGCAACAACAACAAAAAGTAATGAGAATAAAATTTTACCTTTGAATGACCGATAATGTTGTTGATGATTTCTCAACAGAAATAACAGAAAACAAAAAGTAACAGCATGACATAAGTGCTTATAGATAATAACTGATCAGAGAATTGAGGCCCCCAGAAGTCCTTCAAAAATAAAATGATATAAACACTTCAGGAAAACAAAAATTGATACTGAGATAAATTATTGTCAGTAGAAGATCAGATAAAGAAATATATGAGTTCTTCAGGGAGAAAGAAAATTATTATAAGATGAAAACATCAAAATGTCTTGAAGATTAATAGAAAGGATAAATATTTTAGAACAAAATAATTATTAACCATGCAAAATGATGATGATCATAGTGATGATGAAATGTCACAGAAATGCACATGAAAATTAAAAGAAGAGAATAAATAAAATTTTAAAATTTATTAAGTCCTAGCATTATCTGGGAAACATTAGAAGTACTAATGTGTCTTACACTGTAATAAGTCGAGAATGTAAATTAAAATCTCAAGGGAAGTTACTAAAGAATAGTTAAAGAATGAAAAACCAATTAATAGATGAAACAAAATAATTTTAAAAGTTGATTAATACAAGAAAAGAGAAAGAAAAAAGATAATAGACATGGGTCAAATAAAAATACAAGAAAGATTTAAATCCAATGATGTCAGTAATTACAAATAAATGTAAATGAACTAAATAATATAAGTAAAAGACTAGAATATTAGATCAGGAAAAAAAAAACAAAACAAAATATTCAATTGTGTTTGACTTACAAAAGATATTTTTAAAAGTAAGGACATAGATTGAAGGTAAAAGTATGAAAAAATAGCTGCTTTAGTTATACCACATCTTTAAGATAAGAAACATTATAAGAGATAAAGAGGGGGACTTTTCATAATGATACAGGTCAGTCTACAAGGAAATATAAAAATTCAAAGTCTGTATGCACACAAAGACAGATTCAAAATATATAAATCAGAATTCATAGAACTAAAGAAAAGAAATTGCCCGAATTATAATTATACAAGATTTAAATACACATAGGCAAATAGCTTTCAGTAAGATTATAGAAAATCTAGACAACACAATTAACAAACTTGGTCTAATTAACCTATCAGAAAGAAGGAAGTCCACATTCTTTTCAAATGTACATAAAACATTTATAAAACCCAATCATATTTTTGGTCATAAAATATGTCTCAACAAGTAAGAAAAGACTTAAATCATTTAAAGCACTTTTTAGTGCTAGAAATTGATACTAATCCCAACTGTCTGGAAACAAATAATAACAACAAAAATATACCATGAAATAATTCATAGAAAAATTACAAAAGAAATATAAACATTTTAACTGAATTATAATTAGGACAACACTTATAAAAACTTGTGGGATGCAGCTAAAATCTCGTTCAGTGGGAAACTATGTCCTTAAATGTACTTATGAGAAAAAAACACTAAAAAACCAGGTGTAAGCTAAAATTTTAAAAAGCTAGAAAAAAATGTATCAAGCCTAAGAAAAGTAAAGGATGGAAATAACAAGTACATACAAGTGTAGAAATCGATTAAATAAAATAAAAACCTATCAAGACAGATCATAACGATGAGACCACACACAAAACATTAGGAATAAAAAGGACATTAACTGTAATTTACTTCAATAGAAAAAAAGAGAGAGAGAATGATGTGGTCATTTCAGTACAAACAGGAAAAGCATCTGCGGTGGATTGACAATTGTTGGTCAACTTGTAACATGCAGCTGAATTGAACCAGTGTGGTGCTGGGTGTGAGAGGCCCACCTGTTGCCTCCAACATAAGAGGCAGAACTGAAGAAGCTGTTGGAAGCTGTTAAGCAGCTGTAGGGAGCTCTTGGTTTTCCTGGAGAAGTTTGTCATGCTGGCTTTCCTGAAGAACTCAATTATTCTCATTGTTGAAGGAGTTTGGGACCTTGTTGTCACTGAGAATGGCTATGGTTCTCTTTGGGGAGCTCTGGTCCTCACTTTGAACATCGCTTCTTGGCTCCAAGATGGTGCACTGCTCAGTCTCCTGGAGAAGCTTGCTGCACTGGCTTTCCTGGTGGGAACATGGCTTTCTTCATCATCAGAGGAGCTCGGGACCTCACTGGTGCTGAGGATAGCTGTGATATTTTCGGGGAAGCTCCAGCTCTTACTTGGAGTGTAGCTTTCAGCTCCAGTTCATATTCCTCAGTTTACCAGCACAGATCCTTCATACCACTGGCACAGACTTTCTAGTTTCACCACTGACTTTTTACCTTTCCCAGCGCAGATCCATGGAAACAGGCCTGCATGAGGCATTGCCATGGGCTGTAAGCCTCCAATGGGACTTGTGGGAGGCATTGTTACGGCTCTAGGTCTTCAGTTGGACTCACTCACAACATTATCATGAGATGCAGGCCCTCGGCTGCATTCTTTGGTCTTTAGTGTGTGGGTAGATTTCCTGCACTCTCTTTTGTATATGATTCTTTGGGTGACTATTATAAATAATCTTGTAAAATAGGTCCTGTATTACATTGTTCACCTTGCAAAACCCCAAACCACAACAGCATCTGATAAAATTCAATACTCAATCATGAAGCAATTAAGAATAAGTGAGAATTTCATTAATTTGATGACTGAGTACTAACAAAAGCAGAACAGAAACATTATGGCCAGCATTACATCAAATGGTGAATTGCTGAAAACTCTCTGAGATTGGGATTGGGACAAGGATGTCCATTATCATTATTTCTGTTTAACCTTCAATTGGAGCTCTTAGTTAATGGGATCAGGCAAAAAAAATGTAAAGATATCTGCAACACTATACCTGTCTCAGACCCATAATATAAAAAGAACTCCTATGAATAAAAAATTTGAAAGGGCTATAAACTTACTCAAGCAATAGTATTTACAGGAATATACTTAAATGAAAATAGGTATAAGGCTTCATGCAGGGCTGGATCCAGTAGCTGCAGTTTCTTTCCATCTTTCTGTTTTCTGCAGGGCCAATTTCATTGAAAGGCTAGTTCTCATTTTGGTCAAAAGACGCTGTCAATAGCTCCAGGAACTGCATGCTTTTTCAGGAAGAAGACAGAAAAAAGGAGAGAGACATTGTTTGAGTAAACTTATTCCAGCATTCCAAGGAAGAGGCTTGAGTTTTAGATTTGGATGAATCGGATCACATTTTTGTATCTTGATTCATCAGTTCACCTCCTAATTAGTTAACTTCTTAACATGACCAGAAAGATAGGCTGCACTGATTAATTTAAGCTTATGTATCATCTGAATCTAGGCATAAGTTCACTGTCCCATACCTAACTGGATCCCCACAGGGCCATAACAGTTATTGGGAAAGAGGTTATACAGAGGCTTCCAAACATCCTCTGTTCAAAGTGCCCTTTGTGGAACAGTTAATGTTTAAGTGTTTGACCAATCTTACATGTCTATATTTGTTTATCTGAGTAACCAATTTGAAGATATCAATATGTACTACAACAACCATCGCTAATTTCCTATCACCTTGTCTGAAATTCTGCATTGTTTATATTTTTTTTTGTTATTTTCTAAATGTGTGTTTGTTAATATGTTTTCATTCTTTTATCTGAAAATAAAAAAGTGCCCTTTGTGCCTCAATAATTTATGGTGCCCTTGAGTCAAAAGAAACATCAAACATGTCTTTTTTGTTTCTTCTATTGAGTAGTTAGGTTCAAACAACTTAATAATAGTAGCTTGTGCAGTGTGCCCCAAATGTCACCCTTTTCTTGAGAATTTAAGGTATCTTACAGTGCCTCTGTGAGTTTTCTGTGGTGCCCAGAACATCTCAATGTGCGGTTTGGAAACTTGGGGGTTAATAGTTGATAGGGAGATAGTCATACACCCAATCACTTCCAAAGTTGGTAACTACAAACAAGAATCAAACCAATTATTTAAAAAATACAAATATAAAAAGGGCCTTCATAAAGGAGAAACAAAGAAAGCATAGCTGCAAACACCACTTCTCCTCGTCACACTCTGAGCATCCACTCCCCCTAATGAGACTGCAGCATTTTGAAGAAGAAAGGGGTTAGGGAAGGGACAGAAGAAAGATAAACATTCAATCTGGCCTGCTCCCCACTCACCCAAGAGCCCTGACGACAGAACTCCCATGATTGTCTTGGGAACTCCAGGTCTTTGCTTTTCCTCTACACTGGCTTCTATGCAGATCAGAGTTCTAAACTAAGATAACTGAGCCCTAGCTAATTTGTGAACAGATTAAGGAATGGGATTAATGGATCTTCAAATAAGGATATTCAGATGGCAAACATATACAGACAACAACAAGAGATGACATTTAATAGCTTCTATTTTAAATTCTATGACTTTTAATTCTAAAATTAAAAACTTATGTGGCTAGGTGGGTGTGGTTGTGGGTTCCTGTAATCTCAGCAAACTGGGTTCAGGCCTGGCTGGGAATTATAGTGATTTAGTGAGACCTTCTCTCAAAATTTAAAAAAAAAAATTAATTAAAAAGGTCTGGGAATGTAGCTCAGTGTAAAGGCCCTGGATTCAATTTCCAGTACCAACAAATCCAAAACCAAAACACTATATGAACTAATACGTCATCCCAACTCTGTGAACCTGCCCAAGGTGTTCCTGGGAGTTCCCAAAGGTTGTCTCATGTGGATTTGCTGACAAATCTGGTCACTTTTCACCAAGATGCCCATAAGGGTATTCATCATCATGTATGACTTCAACCCCCTTTTGCTCCATGTGCCCCCTTGGTTATCAGCATATCAGTGAGCACAGCCGGGCCAGCCAGGCCCAAATGAGCACCACTACATTTTGTGTGCATGGGGTGGGAAGGCACAACATTCAGACCATAGCAGTGGGTCCTTTTTTGCTAAATTCTCTTTATTCAAACAACTGGAACTGTTTCTGTTTTCTGATCACACGCCAATTGAAACAAGTCATTTCACTAAAATCACTATAGTGGACACTGTTGCCGTGTCCTCGGATGCCAACTGGTTTACAGTGTATAGCTGCACAGCTTCCCTTGAGAAAGTATGCAGAAGGTCTTTTTTTTTTCTACTGCACTGCTACAGTTTCACAGAAGGGATCCAAAGAAGTACTTTCTCTGTTATATTTTATAGTGATTTTAGTGAAATGACTTGTTTCAGTTGGAGTGTGATCAGAAAACAGAAACAATTCCAGTTGTTTGGATAAAGAAAATTTAGCAAAAAAGGAACCACTGCTATGGTCTGAATGTTGTGCATTCCCACCCCCAAATTCATATGCTGAAACCTAGTCTCCCATGTGATGGTGTTAGGAGGTGGGGTCCATGGCACGTGATTAGGTCATGAGGGACCAATACCCTTGTAGAACCTCTACATCCACTATGTAGGACATGGTGAAAAGTTGACATCAGTGAATCAGAAGGTGGGCCCTCACCAAAAACTGAATAGTCTGGCACCTTGACTGTGGATTTCTTAGCTATTGAACTGTGATAACATATTTTTCTTGTTTATAAGCCACAAAATCTGTTTTGTTACACCAGCCTTCCAGTCTTCCATGCTCCTCATAGAAACCCACACCCACTACTGACAGAGCCTAATAAGGAGCAAGCTGTCAGAGGTTCAGATTTTACAAAATCAGACCATCTCACTGAACCTTTCTATCAGAAGTGATATGAAGTAGACAGTGGCATGGTCATAAATGAAATAAATGGAATTGAGAGATATTCATAAAATAGTACTCACAGACATTGGATTAACTAGAGGTAGGGGTAAGGAAGAAATATCAAGATTGACATGAAGGTTTCTGGCTTGAAAAATATATTAGTGCCATTCACAAAGAAAGGGAACACTGGGGCAAAAACACATCCATTTTTTAAAATTTGGTTTTGTTTTGTTCACTGAGACATGATCTCACCATCCCAGGCTGGCCTAGACCTCATGGTGATCCTCCTGCCTCAGCCTCCCACATTCTAGGATTACAGGTGTGTGCCACCACACCCATTTCATTTTTAAACATGAAGAAGGTGGGTTCTTGGGGAACATCTTAGTGGATATGTCAATTGAATATGCACATATGAAGCTTGGGAGATAAATCAAACTAAAGTAATAGTTTATGAACAATCAGTATTTGGTAGAATCAACAATATAGGACTATATAATAACACCCAGGAGGAAGGTTATGTAGTATTTAAAAAGAAGCTGACCATAGACAGAACTCTGAAAGACAGGAAAATTTAATATACCTAAATTAAAAGAGGAGTCCAGAGTAAGCATTCTGAACCAATCCATCAGGGAACTGGCAGGAAATATAGGGAGCTGTGGTATCTCATTTTCCGAAAGAAATAAGCAGATGACAAATGTCAAATACTACTGTGACCCCTTCTTAGGGTCTTCTATGGCAGTGGTTCAAAAAGTGTGGTCCCATGCCAGCAACATCAGCATCATCTGGTGACTTGTTAGCAGTGAACATTCTTAGGCTCAAGTCCCACTGGGTCAGAAATTCTTGGTATAATCTGAATTTTGGCTAGTCTTTCAGGTGATTTTGAGATACACACTAAAGTGTGAGAATGACTACTCTCTGGTGTGCCTCTCAACTCTAGCTGCACATGGGAAGTTGGTTGTGGAGAACAACACATCTAGGTCTAATGTCTAAAAATTCTGATTCAGTTGGCTTAGCCATTAGGCCCAGTATTTGTACTGGCTCAGGTCCGGTATTAAAAAACAAAATTTAAAAAAATGCAACCAAAATTAAGTACCATAATTTTGGTGGCAACATTTCTTTTCTGTGTACTATCACTGAGATGATAAGACTCAAGTTTGTAAAAACCAGACAAGTTTAGAGATACAACCTGCTTGCTTCTCATACATCTGGTTCCTTCCCTCCAAAATCTATGTTGAAACCTAATCAGCATTTGTCTTAGGTCCTCTTCTCATTGCTGAGACAAAAATACCAGACACCCAAAGTTAAAGGAGGGAAGGTTTATTTGGCTTACAGTTTCAGAGGTCTCAGTCCATAGTCAGCTCCTCCAAGGCAGGGTCATAATGGCAGAGGGGCATCACAGAGGAGAAGCAGTCCACAGCAAGCAGGCAAGTGAGAGCACGTCAGCCCTCTTTCTGTTCCTTGTATTTCATGTAGGCTGCTGCCCGAGCACTCACACCCTTTACCCGATCCAGAACCATGCCAAACCAGTAAGTAGACTGATTTAGTCACCACACACCATTGATCCTGGGCCACACACACTAGAGTCAGCCCCTCCTGAAAAGCAGCCCTCTCATGACTGCATGAGGCCCTGGGGGGACATCTAAACACTAGCCACAACACCATTATAATGGTATTAAGAGGTGAGGTCTTTGGGAAGACAAGGCAGGAGCTCTCATGAATAAAATTGCTGCCCTTATGAAAGAGGCAGAAGGGAGCTCCCTGGCCCTTCCACCAGTGAGGACACAGCAAGAGTGAACTTTCAGCAGATACAGAATCTGTTGGTGCCTTGGTCTTGGACTTTCTAGTCTCTAGAACTGTGAGAAGTAATTTCTATTTTTGTTTTTCACAAATTATCCAGTATTTTGTTAAAGAGGCTGAAGTGGACTAAAACATTACCATTTTGTGAGATTATGTGGTTTCCCTAACTGTGCTCCAATATGTAGAGTGTGGATGTTGTCACTCCTGCTCTTACAAGAAGAAAGCCCAACAAACTGAACATCAACAACTCTTAGATCTGTTAGGAAACTGGAGTCACAGGGAACACCACCACTTAAGACACTGAAGAGATGGTTTATTATACAGAGTATCAGCTTATTAGAAGCAAGAGTTATTGTAACAAAAATGGGTGGTCCATGATTTGTGATGTTTCCACTTACAGTTTTTTTTTTTTACTTTACGCTGGTGTGAATGAAATACGCGTTCAACAGAATTTTGAATGTTGATCTTTTCCAAAGCTAGCAATATGTGGTATGATTCTCTGTTATGATGCCCAATTGTAGACTAGAATAAGTGTTCTGGACACATTTAGGGAAGGCTAGGCTAAAGTATAATGTTCAGTGGGTTGGGTGTGTTAAAAGTATTTTTTATTTGCCGTATTTTC